TCTTGTTTAAACATTGTATTTGATCATGCAATAATGCTTCTGGCTCATTGAACAGGCACCAGACTGTCTCTTCTTCCTGTTTAATTGTTATCTGAATACATTTAATTGAAATTAGCTGTTTTTCAAAATATCCAATTTGATAATGGACTTGATGCAAAACCTCGTATTTTTCATCCAGGCCTAACCCTTTGGAATTAAGATACCAAACATGTTTGGTTTCACTGCAAATAATGATGCAAAATTATGGTGGAAAACTCAATGCACACACATATAAATGAAACATTTTTTTTCGATTATCTCAAAACTTTATAAAAGTCAGATACGAGGTTTTGACAGGACTACGACGAAATGCCTTTTCAAAATCAACCATTGCCATAAATCCAGGGAGTTTATGTACTTCACAGTGAGAAAAACATTGGTCCACGCGAAGGAAGAAGAATCCCACTATTTGCTCACCAACTAAGAGTAGAAAGGAGCAAATGAAGCAGGAGGTCATGATACACGCATTTAAAGCAGCGAGAAAATTACCTAGGCACCCCTACTCAAGGTAGTAATTAGCCTAGAGTGTCATCAGTAAATTGTCAAAGTTTTCAAGTCCCAAGAACTGAAGGATGTAATGAGACTCAACAGTTAATTTCATACATTCATTGATATAATAACAGGGAATGTGTGAAATGGAACACCATGAATATCAGTAATTTCATGAAATCCCTTGAAATTTTAGGGAATACATGAAATCCCTGGGGGTCAGAGTGATTTCACGAAATCACTGATTCTTTTAGGGATTACGTGAAATCCCTGGTTTCACACATTCCCTGTAACATATATATATCCAAGCCGTATAATAGTCAACACTCTTAATAATATATAATGTGACAGTGATGTGGTCACTGGTATGATACATTAGTACAGTCAGCATAGTCAAGACATGTCAAATAATCTAGTTTTGTTTCACTGAACGTGAATAATACATCCACTGCTGACTTGTTATTGTATTTGATCACCGATATTCATGATATGCACCACATTCATCTAAAAGTGGATTTGTTGCAGCCCTACTAAAAGCCATGTATAGGCTAGTGGACTCAGAAGCTCTTGGCACAGCCTGATGTTCTTCTGACATCTTCTTATCATGTCTTAATACTCTAATACTCTTCTATCAAAGAACTTCTTCACCTTTAACTTATGATGTCGTACTTCAACACCATCTGCACTAACCATAGTTGTCTATGTGATATTTACATTAGATCTTGTATGTTACTTTTACATGACAGTTCCAAATTTGTTAATCATTATTTTATAAACATCATGTATAGGGTGATCTGAAGGCATATGACAGCATCAACAAATTCCTTCTAAAGCTGTACATAATTATGTTGTCAACTGTTACATATAACAAGTTTATGCATTTGTGTCCGAATATTTGTTGTGCATAGTTTTATTGGCAAAAATAAAGAATATGTAATGGATTAATCTTAGCACAAAAATACAAGACAGTAGCCGTTCAGAGCTGTTCTGATTGAGAAAGAGTGTATTTGATCATGCAATAATGCTTCTGGCTCATTGAACAGGCACCAGACTGTCTCTTCTTCCTGTTTAATTGTTATCTGAATACATTTAATTGAAATTAGCTGTTTTTCAAAATATCCAATTTGATAATGGACTTGATGCAAAACCTCGTATTTTTCATCCAGGCCTAACCCTTTGGAATTAAGATACCAAACATGTTTGGTTTCACTGCAAATAATGATGCAAAATTATGGTGGAAAACTCAATGCACACACATATAAATGAAACATTTTTTTTCGATTATCTCAAAACTTTATAAAAGTCAGATACGAGGTTTTGACAGGACTACGACGAAATGCCTTTTCAAAATCAACCATTGCCATAAATCCAGGGAGTTTATGTACTTCACAGTGAGAAAAACATTGGTCCACGCGAAGGAAGAAGAATCCCACTATTTGCTCACCAACTAAGAGTAGAAAGGAGCAAATGAAGCAGGAGGTCATGATACACGCATTTAAAGCAGCGAGAAAATTACCTAGGCACCCCTACTCAAGGTAGTAATTAGCCTAGAGTGTCATCAGTAAATTGTCAAAGTTTTCAAGTCCCAAGAACTGAAGGATGTAATGAGACTCAACAGTTAATTTCATACATTCATTGATATAATAACAGGGAATGTGTGAAATGGAACACCATGAATATCAGTAATTTCATGAAATCCCTTGAAATTTTAGGGAATACATGAAATCCCTGTCAGAGTCAGAGTGATTTCGAAATCACTGATTCTTTTAGGGATTATTGAAATCCCTGGTTTCACACATTCCCTGTAACATATATATATCCAAGCCGTATAATAGTCAACACTCTTAATAATATATAATGTGACAGTGATGTGGTCACTGGTATGATACATTAGTACAGTCAGCATAGTCAAGACATGTCAAATAATCTAGTTTTGTTTCACTGAACGTGAATAATACATCCACTGCTGACTTGTTATTGTATTTGATCACCGATATTCATGATATGCACCACATTCATCTAAAAGTGGATTTGTTGCAGCCCTACTAAAAGCCATGTATAGGCTAGTGGACTCAGAAGCTCTTGGCACAGCCTGATGTTCTTCTGACATCTTCTTATCATGTCTTAATACTCTAATACTCTTCTATCAAAGAACTTCTTCACCCCAACTTGCGATGCCGTACTTCAACACCATCTGCACTAACCATAGTTGTCTATGTGATATTTACATTAGATCTTGTATGTTACTTTTACATGACAGTTCCAAATTTGTTAATCATTATTTTATAAACATCATGTATAGGGTGATCTGAAGGCATATGACAGCATCAACAAATTCCTTCTAAAGCTGTACATAATTATGTTGTCAACTGTTACATATAACAAGTTTATGCATTTGTGTCCGAATATTTGTTGTGCATAGTTTTATTGGCAAAAATAAAGAATATGTAATGGATTAATCTTAGCACAAAAAATACAAGACAGTAGCCGTTCTAAGAGCTGTTCTGATTGAGAAAGAGTGTACTTTGTAGAAGACATAATCAGGTGTTTCATTGGTAACCAGAGTTACCTCCATCAAGATTACAACGTATATGTCTGCTCAACAAGATTTACCATCAAACATTTTTTTATACAGCTCACATTCAGTCTAGATTTGTATTATACACTTTTGTCCACGAGTATGAATTATTGACTGGTTACGCTTGATCATTTGCAATAACATCACAATTCCACAGAAGCACTGACTACTACCAATAGCAACCTGATACCAACCATTGCTAACCACTCTCTTTAGCCATAAGCATGTTAACTGCACACAGATACTAATGACAACTATGAAATAATCTATTGCCACTCACATGCTGATCATGTCAAAACATTCTTGTTAAAAGTGTGTAGAGACTCCTATGATTAAAAAGAATGCATGGGGAGATCCTGCCACTTAATTTCAACTATTAAACATGTATATGTAAATAATGTAGGGTTAGTAATGTGTACATTAGGCTGTAATGAATACACTATGTTGCCAATATGATACGTATCACGAATATTGAGTAACGAATACGAATAATTATTCACGAATACAATATTGCAGTTAAGTGATTGATGCACAATATTGAATGCCCATGTTGACAGTGGTAATTTGTCACTCATCTCATGACACTCAGATTTGGTATGTAATAGTTATAGTTGACAGTAACATGTCCGCCCTTGGCAAACTAACATGACTTGCGCTACTACAAGGCTAGTACATAATGCATATCTCGTTTTGAAAAAGGACAAAAGGGTTCAAGTAAAACACACTCCCTTAAAAAAAAAGTAAATATTCATGAATATTCGGTTCTAGTGACCACGAATAACGAATTGAATTCATGAAGGGCTACGGTTCGATTCACTGAATATGCGAGTGAATCGTAACAGCCTTAGTGTACATACAAGAGCCAGTGTTTCAAAATGGGTCACAACTTGAAATTATGAAAAGGGGTTATTTCCTTACCCTTGTCTTTAACGTTAATAGTTAGGGCCACTTCACAGATTCAGATACAATCAAGGATGTCGGACCTGTGTATCCCTGTATGCCCTTTAAAACCGTATACCATGCACCGGTACATGCTATCTGGCTTTATAATAATCATGAATAATTAGCAACATTGCACCTCCAGACCTTAACTAAGTTATTTTCAAACAAGCAGAACCCATACAGCTAATTTACCCCATGTCTGCTTTGGTAATCGTGTATGTTGCCAAGGAAACTATACCATGCTATACCCAACCTGGTTAGGCATGTTGACATATCTTGGAAGATTAGGGACCGGTCATAATTTATGATAGGGGGGGGGGAAGAAAGAGAGAGAAGGAGAGATGATGATTTTTATGGAGTAGCATGTACAATGTGAATGACCCCCCCGAAAATTTATGGTCAAAATAAGTGACCCCCCTGCATGTCATGTACAAAATCAATTATCCCCGCCTCCCCTTCCCATAATTTCTAAGCATAATTTTAAACATATTTTTATGTACAAAATTGCTGACCCCCTAGTATGTGTGTACAAAATTGATGGAACCCCCTAGCTCCCCAGAACAAAATGGGTGACCCCTAGCCATAACTTATGAACGGTCCCTTACAAAATTAGCACAAAATGAGAAAATGATAACAAAGCAGACACTTTCTTTCAGGGAATGTAAAATATGATGCGTGAAATAATTGTCTAAACCATACGAATATTATATTGCATTTAAAATATGAATATGTTACTGTTTTTTCTCCTTGTAGATTTGTTAATAATTGATATGGCCAAAGTTATATAAGTTTAGTAAAATCATTTTAGCGTACAATAACCTGCATCAAGGGTTCGTGACAAACATTTTTTTCAAACAAAAGCTATAAATTTATCCTCTGCAAAAGCGTTTTATAGAAAAGCACATATGGCGGTAAATGCAGAACGATAGCGCAAATATGGAAAAGTACTTACAACTGTCATCGAAGTAGCCAGTAGTACTTGTAAAATCCGTTGCAGCTAATTTTCGCATCATTTTACAAGTCGGTCACATAAATATAAAATAACAAGTAGAATCAAATTTGCAACACATTTGTTGCAACGTACAATCACAGCACGCTGGAAAATTTTCGAAAAACCAAGTGAAGCCGGTTCAACGCCGGGTTAAAAAATACAATGTGAGTTGTGAGTCACATCAAACTGCACAGTAACGTGCCGCCGTTTTGATACCAAAATTTGCCACAATGTGCAGACGTTGTTTGTGACATATTCTCTGTCCTAAACCTGCAGACAGCAAGATGTGGTTCCCGCGATGCATTAGAACAAGCGGATTCGCTATAACATTGTCTCGTCTTTGTCTGTCAAATTCACGTTTGACATAAAACCGGAAGTGGTAGCGTTATCGTCCCTGGAAAGATAGTAAAAATGTCATCCTGGAAATTAAGATGGAACAAGTGCGAGCTCTTACTAAATTGGATTCTAAGAAAATACGAAAGTGGAATGAAGGTTTTTGTAAGGGATTTACTATAACTGATTGGTAAATAAAAGAGACAATAACTGACAGAACCTACAATAACTGTCTTTACCTTCAATTTTATACTCCAGCTGATCAATACTAGAGCAGATATTGACTGACACCTTTAAAGTTTACTTTTAGTAATAGTTACACAATGGTTTCAAGTGGATCTATAATCCTTAATAGACCATGCGTAGCTACTCAAATCAAAATGAAAGTATATATTGCATTCCTGCATAATGGTTATACAAACTAAATGTTAAAAACTACACTTGTCACTATTTGCAGTCAGAAACTTAGATTCAGAACCTAATGTTCCCACTGATCAAGAATCAAAATGTTTCAGGCATGAATAATTTTATTTGTTTACATACATACATACATACATACATACATACATACATACATACATACATACATACATACATACATACATACATACATACATACATACATACATACATACATACATACATACACAGTGTGACACATACGCTTACACACCTCATGATAAACACATATTTGAGCTTCAAGCAACTGCATTCGCCATTCTTGCATTCTTGAAGTGAGGCGGTGAACTTTTGGTCAGGACACAGAACAGAAGTCATCCATTTCTGAATGTGTTCAACAGACTTTAGATGTTTCTATAGGTTTGAGGTCGAGACAAATCTCAGCATAATCTGCACCTAAGCAAAAAGTAGATGTTAAAACCTCACTGTGTGACAAATGTCGAATTATTGATAAAGAAAATGATTGGACCAAACTCAGATCATTGGGGGACACCAAAACAATAAATTTGTGCTACCAATCAATGAATTTCCTTTTGATGTAATTCTTCTACCCCGAAGACTCCGCAAGTGTATTATTAGTGTACACAATCCTCACTTCGGACAAAAACACAACTGAATTCTCTGAGCATATATGAAACATGAACATGTCACATATATTGGGACAAAAGGTCTACCCTACCCTACTTTAACCAGAAATGGTAGAGTAGACAGTGGGTGCACCTCTGTAGGTTTACTTTATACACATAAACTTTTCACACAGTTTCTCTTTCAGCGTGATGAACTAGTTACTTCGTTCCACCAACCAGTTTAACCTTTTGTATTAACCAGCAACACATAGAGGGCGCTGTATGTGAAACTGAGAAAGGGGGACTCAGTCAAGTTATATGTGTTCTACGTCTCTCGAATAATCAGAGAGGAAAACAACATATATTCTTAAGATATAAACAGGCAATAAGTTTCAGTTCGACTGAGATCAACACCATGACTTCCCGAAGGTTGCTCGATTTCCACGACGACTGTAAGCTGAATCATGTTGATTTTTAAGCCTAGGTTGATATGAGCTGTATCATTGTTACAATGACATTTAAAATTATAACATACCTGGGCACCTACACTGCTAGAGGTAGATGGTGACGAATCCAAGAACTATTCACTTATCACAGTGTATGAACAACATCTTATAATCATGATAGTCGTTCTCTTTTACGTTGTCACAGTTCACGGAAACCACAGCACAGGAATTCGTCAGCTGTTCATACCGAAACAGAACCAAACGATCAAAACACAGACCATATGGCCATTTATTGTCTCAGATGACATGTAGATACACATTATTGTTTCGCACTATGACTGGAAATGATGATTTATATATTTCATCTTCATCTGCAAAATCCTGTGAGAAAACACGTAACATAATTTGTCCATAAAGATATCCATATCTAAGTCACTTCCTGTAATTTGGCTTGAAACAAATTGCATGAGAACATTATATTGATTCTACTGAAAGATGGCAGTAACAAATGTGTTGGAGAATTTGTGAATTTGATAATCTTAACGCAGAATTTTGCATCAAAAGTTGATCAAATGAAGTGATCTGAAACTCATCAGTTACAAGAACTTTCTGTTGATTAATTAGATTTTACATATTTGTTTTATGTATAATCATGATAATAATGCATTTTTATTAATAGTGATAGCATACAAATAATGTGGATGGTATGATTAGATTTGAAGTGTGAGTATGTTGATGGTTCTTGGGGTTTTAAACCACACTGTTGTTTCTGTTTTGCTGTGGGATTTTTAATCATACAACACTTGTAATGGCTATTCTTGTGATCATATCAAACTTAGAAATACAGGTTTTATTGACTGAGTTGAACTGCATTATATATCCCTGGAGACAGAATAAATCATCATGGATGTTCCCAGGCATTTAAATGTAGGACGTATATTTTGTAGAGCTGACATGCAGATCCTCTGCATTGTTGTGGGTTTGATCATGTTTGCTATATGCACTTCATCAAAGATAGTTTATGGTTACGCCAAAGACCCAGGTTCGATTCCCCCAAATTATGGGTACAATGTGTGAAACCCATTTCTGGTGTCCCCCGCCGTGATATTGCTGGAATATTGCTACAAGCAGTGTAAAACTATACTTACTCCCAAGGGCTAAAATGGGGCTGTTGGTGAACTGGTAACCAAAGTAATTCATAGCCATGGACAGTCCATAGACTTGTAGACAAAACTGAACTCCTACATTAAACAATTAAGAAGACGTCAGTGGAGTCGTAGACACTCCAACCACAACATATTCTTACTCGTCTTTCACTGACTGATGATAACGTTTGCTGATACTCTAGTGTTGCAGAGACTGTCCTGTCACTGATCACAGTTGCCACTTTGAAGTTCACATGTAACGCAGTTGGCTGTTTGGCAGTTCTGTCAGATCTTGGGGTTCACAAATTCACTGTCATCTTATGTATCCATGAGACAGTGGTGTCACCATATCCCCTAGTAAAGTTCATGCAGATGTTTAGGGTAACATAAACATCATCAAAGTGCTAAGCCAGTAACAGAGAGATTGTACTTTACATGCTGCTGTGTACATGTGAGATATTTTTGCTGTACTTCCGTAAACTACATTTGTAACGAATACACTTATACAGAACTGATGGCTATAGCAAACATTTCCTTTTTTAGTCCTTGCCACTGGCTGTAGTTGAAATGTGTATTGACAACTATGGTTATAACAAACAATAATTACCGGTCTGATTGAGTTTCGTTATGACGATAGTTTACTATATATGCAACTAGTGTGATCATTTACAGTTGCTATCGTATACGTGTACATCATATACTTAGTGGTAGCAAAGTGAGGGTCTCCTATTAAACATATAAACACACTAGTTATGGCTTGCATGGTGTCTCTGAACACAACTCACTGCAACACTGCTTCCACATGTTAAACTTGTTGCTTCAATTGCCTCAAATCACCCCATGAAGATCCGGGTTAGAATTCGTCTTCACTAACCCATGCTTGTCGTAAGAGGCTCGCTGACTTACCGTAGTTCACTCATGTCAACATATCCCAATTGAATAGAACAATGCTCATGCTGTTTGTATTTGGATTGTCAGGTCCTGACTTGATTATATATAGGCCCCCACCATATAGCGGGAATATTAAACAATAAACGAACAAACTTGCTTCAAAGCTGTATCACTATCATTTGGGCTTCTGTATAAAAGTCAGATCATGATAATAGCAATTATGCTTACAACTGTTTTAATTTCTAAAAAATACGAAACTAACAAGGTTTGAATTTAATATCTACTTGTCAGAGGCAAGTCAAATTCAGGAAATACTGGTGAAATTTTCTGTATGGACCACAACTTTAGCCTTGAGGCAAATGGAAATGCAGATTATTTGTTGACTTTTGAAAAAATAACCCTGTACCCTGATTGATAACCGATAAATTTCCATAATTTGAGTGATTGGAATAAACTGATTATGATTTACGATTCATGAATTGAAAACCTGTGAATATCTGGGTTAGAAGCTTGTCATAAGATGACACATCATAGAATCCCAAATGCTTAGATCAATGCTGAGTAAGTGAGTTTAGTTTTATGCTGCATGCAAGCTATATGGCAGCGGTCTGTAAATAGTCGAGTCTGGACCAGACAATCCAGTGATCAACAGCATGAGCATCGATCTACACAATTGGGGTACAAAGACGTGTCAGCGAGCCTGACAACCCGATCCCTTTAGTCGCCTCTTACGACAAGCATGGGTTATTGAAGATCTATTCTAACCCGTATCTTCACAGGTCTTAGGTCGATGCTCATGCTGCTTATCACTAGATTGTCTAATCCAGACTCCATTATTTACAGGCTGCTGCCATTTAGCTGGAATATTGCTGGAATATTGCTCAGTGCAGCATGAAACAACAAAGAAACAAAAAGTCATGAATTGAAGTAATAGGATTCTGATCATAATAATTCATGATTGCTCAGCGGTAATAAATCGATTATGATTACTAATAACTCTTTGATTAATTGTACTAAGAACTGAAATCAAAACCATAGAATGATGACTGTATATTGAACAATGTTGAATATTTGTTGGCAGATATCGAGAGAACTTCAACAACAATGTCAGGTGTCATCGGTATAATTGTGGGAATTATAGTCTTGGTAATTATTGTCATCATCATCGTCTGTTTCTGTGTGTGTCGTCGACGACGTGGGTACACAGGCCGCACACTCTACTCACCGGCTCCTCAAGCACACACAACCACAACAACAACAACTTCCTACCCGGCCAATCACACGATATTGTACCCAGCACAGCAGCCCATGCCACAGCAACCGATGCCACAGCAGCCAGTCAACTACCAACACTACCCAGCACATCCACCCCCCGGACAAGGTAAAGTAGTTTGCTGTGTACACTGAGGTTTTCGAACATTCAATTTGATGGGTTGGAAGGGGTATGTATGATTAGAAAATCTTTTTGTCTTCTGTATGACTTTCAGATTTAACTGGTGATACCATTTGGTATCCGATAGCCACTGAAGTGGTTTGACTGTAGAACATCACATTTCATCTAATATAACTCTTCTACAAACTATTGGGGGTGGTGAGGTAGCCTAGTGGTTAAAGGATCCTACCAGGGTGAATGCCTGGGTTTGATTCACCACATGGGCACAATGTGTGAAGCCTATTTCTTGTGTCCTGCCATGATATTGCTGGAATATTGCTAAAAGTGGCGTAGAACCCAACTCACTCACTCACTATCATTTCTGTTTGAACAGCTCCACCTCCATACCCTGGACCTCCACACACAGGATATCACTCTGGACCTCCCCCGTATCCCATGGCAACAGGTGACCAACAGTGGCAACCGTCTCAACAAAAAATGGACTCAGCTGGATACACAGGAGGAATGGACCAATCATATTTGCAGAAAGCCTCTGCACCACCTCCTGAACCATATTAGATGTGTAATGCAAAATGTGATTGGACAATGCACAAAGTGCCAAACGTTCTTATAGACACTAATGGACATTGGATTCTACTTGTTGTCATGGTGACAGTAGACACATGAACTGTTTAATTCAGGCTGGACCAATGTTATGCTTTATTTTATGGATTCTGTATTCCATATTCTTCAATGACATGTGAAAAAAAAAGAACAAAACAACTTGGGAAAAAACCTCTTGAAATAAGATTGAAATATTATTGCGATTATTATATCTTCATAATAAGAATATTCATGAGATCTTAATGTGAAACAATTTTGTGATAATTAGTAGAATCTTGCTAAATTTAAGGCAGTTTTTTAGTTAGGCATGAAATTTGTTTTGGGTTACTCGATTTTTTATTAACATAGTGGAGAAGTATGAATCTCAAGCTGCAGTAGGAGGGATTCCTAGAATGTTTAAGAGGTTTAGACTGCTGTGCTGGTCTTGCCAACAGATGAGAATTGTGTAACATTATCCACCAGTCAGCGGGTGGAAGAGGAGCAGTGATGACACAATATGGGTGTTGAAGTGTTGTTTCTTCAAACATGACTTGGATGGCAAATCTGCCCTCCCACAAATTATCAAAAATGAAATATAACAGTAATTCCCATCTCACAAACTCTGCTTAAACATGTCAGTTATTGAGAAACGTACACAGTGGGAAGGGAAGTAACTCTGTGATTTGTCGAAGAAGGCCTAAGCAACACCTCCTTTCATTGTTTTATATAAGATGTTGTTTTACTTTTTCAACAGCTTAGGGATTGCTTATGAAACACTGTTGTTGCTATTTCATATTTATAGTTTAACCACTGCCGTTCATTATTTTAGTGAGATTTGTGAATAACTGTGTGGTCCCCCATTTCAACCACACACACTAGACGGAAGCTTGAAACTGACACAGGCACAGCACATTTCTGGATGTGGAAGATCTGTACTTTCACATCTCAGACTAGTGGAGGTCCAATTAACTGAAATAATCAAAGATTGGTCGCAGTGACCAAACAAAGGTCGGGGCCTTAAAACAGGTTTAATTCTTAGAAAACTCACTTCATTTACTGAAAAGTCATAACTGAATATTTCTTAAAGACTGTGGGAGGTGGAACACTTTTTATGGATAGACAACTTCTTTGTTGCAGTAGTTGTGAGGTGGTTTACCGTTGGCTTGTATGATAAACCACGGTAAACCACCTACAAGCATCAAAGAAGACCCTTCATACATAGGAGGAACGTGCCGCCCCCTAAACCTACGAGTCAAAGAACATCAGAGATCTGTAAAGAAAAAAGACTCCAAATCAGCCATTTCCGACCACACCCAAGGCCACCCGAACCATACCATACTTTGGAACAACATCAGCATCCTAGAAGCCGACCGGTGAGATTACAAGATAAGAAAACTCTTCGAGGCTATCAACATCAAACGACTCAACCCGACAATCAACAGAGATCAAGGTTATTACATCCCCACGGTTTACGATCAACTAATCAAGAATAACCCACCCTTTTCTACTGGCTTCAATCATTCCTATCACAACAAGTCTCATGTCAACACACCGTACATCAACCTCTTCTATTGTATAACCAATACCCGCCATGTATATATTTCTCCTTGTGCAAATGTTGTGTATCATTTGCTTGATAACGGTGTTAGGATCTACACAGAAACGTCGCAACCACTATTGCAACAAACATGTTGTCTATCTATAAATAGTGTTCCACTTCATCATACCAGCTTCTAAATGCCACTTAAGGAAGTAAAACTCTGGGAGGTCTTATGTTAACGTGATATTAGTCATCACTTTAAAGGATTAAGTTGCATCTTTTACATTGGATGTGAAAGTCGAAATGCAATATGCTCAATATCTAAGTGACAAAAAGCAGCAGAGAACCATGTTATACTTATCTGCAATAATAACCTGAACAGGAAAATCTTAAAATTGACGCTAACCAATTTTTTTCGATGATTGCTCGTTGGTAATAAACCAATCATGAATTGAGATTTCACCCAATTCCCAACACTAGCTCAGACTATAACCATAACCAGATTGTGCAGTTTATCTTGGTACTGATGTTGACATTTTGGATGTGACAGAAGTTATACATGTGAATTGGAAGTGGTTTTGTCCCATTGATACTTCTGTGACAACCAGAATGACTCCCTGTTCATTCTGTTACCCTGGATACTTCACTGCCCATCAGCATGGTGCTGTTTGTTTCTGTTACCATGGATACTTCTGTGCCCAACATCAGGACTCTTAGTCGTTGTGTATGTTACCATGGATACTTCAGCAGGACTCATCGTTACAGTCTGTTACCATGGATACTTCAATGCCAACAGCGGGACTCTTAGTTACAGTCTGTGTTACCATGGATACTTCAGTGATCAACAGCAAGACTCTTAGTTACAGTCTGTTACCATGGATACTTCAGTCATCAACAGCAGGACTCTTAGTTACAGTCTGTTACGATGGATACTTCAGTGCCAACAGCAGGACTCTTAGTTGTCACAACAAAGTGGTTGTGTTTCATACATGGATGCGTCAGTATTTTCAGAATATTTAACAATTTCAACTTTTGTTCTGTATATAATATTTGGCGCTGATCCAAGAATGGCAGTTTATGTGAATTGTTTATACCCCATTTATCTGCTGTTGGGATGGCTTGGAGAAGTTTGTAGCTAATGATGAGAGGTTATGGCCTCATAAGCTTGTGATTAATTCACTTGTCTGTATGTTACAGATATACAGGTGATAACATACTGTGTAGAACATACTGTGATACATTTTCTTAAACACCACATACTAGGTGACATACAGTCACTCAAAAAACTAACGATTAATTATCTCATAGTTTAAGAAATTTGTACCACCAAACATCCCAGATATCACTGTAATGCCAGGCGTGTTTGTGCTATGAACAGATACATTTTCTCTATGTTCATTGGTATGTGGGTGTTGAAATCCTTCAATTTACTGTGAAGAGTTGCCTCCCTTAGGCACACCAATTATGGTTAGATCAGGTACCATGTTCACTGTGATCATGCTTCTGTGCACCACGCCTGTGGATGAGGGTTTCACCAAAGTGGGAATGTATAATCTATTAGATGTGTAAAGTGGTGTGACACCAAAGTGGGAATGTATAATCTAGTAGATGTGCAGAGTGGTGTGACACCAAAGTGGGAATGTATAATCTATTAGATGTGCAGAGTGGTGTGACACCAAAGTGGGAATGTATAATCTATTAGATGTGCAGAGTGGCGTGACACCAAAGCCGCTCTTGCACTTATCAATATGTGAGTGTCTTCAAGGGTGGCACATGATAAAAACTGAAGAACTTTTGTTGTTGAACCAAAGATGAATGTCACGATCAATTCCCTGGGAGTTTTCTCAAAGTGTTTAATTAGTTTTCGTTTCAGTTTGTTCCACAACCTCTCTAGTCCCTGCCATGCTGTTATCTGGAAGTGTTGAATGTTTACTGGTAAGGTGAACTGTCAGACATGTTACTCTGTATCTAATGTTATCCCAACATTGTGCTTCACTGCTTGCCTTCACAAGGCCCCAGGAGTTAGTCTGGGGTTTGCCTACTCTGGCCTGAAGAAGGAGTTTTGGGTTTGCATGCACCAGCCAGGACATGATTATAAACCCACAGTCTCTTTTAGCATTGGGACCTCTTTATGTTCCAGACCACTGGGACAGTGTATATGTATTGTTGATTCAGCTTAGGTGCCTCATTCACACCAAGTCTAGATAGTTAGATGAGAACGTCACTGGCACATATACCGTGTACATCATTTATAGTCAGCTGTCACTTCAGTCCGACACATGTACAGCTGGAGCCTGTTTTCAGCATCACATGTAGATTCCCATTCACACGGGAGGTGGGGTAGCCTAGTGGTTAAGGCGTTTACTTGTCACGCCAGAGATTAGGGTTCAATTCCCCACTTGGGTACAATTTGTGAAGGCCAATTCTGGTGTCCCCTGCCATGATATTGCTGGAATATTGCTTTATTTTACTTACTCTGATTCACAAAAATCCAGTTATCATGAAACAAGCATGTTTTGGGCATGTAATCATGTAATCCCAAATTAGGACATCATTGTAGATATCAGGAAAGAGATAAGTCTAGGTTTTGGGGGGCTTTTATAATTATTTTATGTATTTTTATGTATATCAATATTGCTTCTTCTTTTTTATAACTCTATCAAAGAAACTGTTAATTGCCAAATTGTGTTTTGAGTATGATTTTCTTAGCATAATCTTTGCTCAGATAAAACTGCCAAGGAGTAGGTAATATGTGAAGATGAATGAATGGCATGGGCGGATCCAGGAATTTTGAAAGGAGGGGGTTCAGGGGTTCGAACCCCTGAACCCCCCATTGGCTCTGCCAATGCAAAAAAAAATCTTCTATGTGATCTTCAGTCATTTTCAAAAGGGGGGGCTGAAACCCCCCTCTGGATCCGCCAATGAATGGGAAGATTGTTAGAACAGATCCTGAAGCAGTGGTTGATCATGTTGATGAACATAATGCCTCTTTAAACATCTGTTGAAACTGTTGACAAGAAATCAAAATATATTGAAATCGCTGTCTACCTTTGTGCAATTGTATGTTACTCTTGTGATCTTGTTTATTGACATTGTTATATTGAGATAAAGTTAGTTGTTTGTGGAGATCCATCAGTGTATGTTACAGTGGTCTCCCTTTAATGTTTAACAGAGTTGTGTCCCTTTGCTTGGATGTGCATCTGATGAGTTTGAAACCAAAAACATAATTGTGACCCTTGACCTGCCAGTGCATAGCCTTGCTTGGGTTTCACGAGACTGTTTCCAACTTCATCCTGTATTTGTTGATACCTCTACCACAGCAACACAACAATGGTAAATTGGCAACACCTCTGAAGAATTAAGTGAATTCGGAATGTGTGCTAAATTTTTCTTGTGTTTATTTTGTGGTTATGACGATAGTCACAGCCTTTTTTCCCATAAGCCATTTCCATCCTTTAGCAGAGCTGTAGCTGGAATATTGCTGAGTGTTGCGTTAAACAACAACCAAGTCTTTAGCAGAGCTGTACATGCTGAAAGTTATAATTTTCAAAGCACAGTAAAACATTATCACACCAGGCAGTATTCGAAAACCAATGACACGCTTCAAAGAACATATTATTCCTCCTGTAACAGTAGTAGTTATATAATCATGAAGGCTTGACCATGCTTTATC